TTCTTCATTTTTCTACAAATACAACCTGTGGATTTTTTCATTTTCTTCTTAATAATAATCTCAAAAATGTTATTTTTCATAGCTTTCTATTTTTTCTATTATTTCATTTCCTACCTACAGCATACTGTGAGACCGTACTTCTTTTTATATATAATATTATTACAGTTCAGAATTGTTTTTTTGTGAATAAGTCATTAGCATATACATTCTAAAGTAAGAAAAATGGATTTTCTTATGTAGTAGGTGTCTGATAAATGTGTCCTTGGTAGCAAAAGAAAGTTATTGAGAGGTAACATAGCATCATTCTCCTCTGAAGCTAAACTTTACCAGACACTTTTTATTTGAGATGCAAGATATCAAAGCAGATACTTGATAACAGAGAAAACATAAGTGGTGTCCCTGATTCATATTATTACTATTTACAACTAAAAAAATTTTACCCTTTTTTTTGCCGGCTTTTCTTAAATTTACATTCAATTTTAGAAATGCTTATAAGGAAGCCTAAATGTGCGTATGAAACAAGACCTAAAGAACCCTTCAGAGGTGATTTATAAATAGGAGGATGTCATGTCATTGAAGAAATTCTATTTTGCACTGGTTTCAGAGACTGTAGCCTGGAAGCGTGTTGTTTATATTGAAAGGAATCCATTGCTTCATTAAAAAGTCTGGCGCTGAGGCCCATTAAGACTGCTAAATAACCACACAATAATTATCACAGTTCCAAAAATGTTGGACTTATTTGTTTTTTTAAGCTTTATATTGTTGACTTATAATTTTTCTTGTTCCTAATATACTTATGAGATGTAAATTACTAGAAAACATATTTTAGTGCACCTCGGTGTTTGTTAAATGAAGAATGGGGAAGGTATTTGTGATGATAATCTTCTTCTTATAATATGGGCTGGAGAGGAAATGATAGCATTTCCAGACAGACAGACTTGGATTCCAATCTGGGATCTACTACTTCCTATGTGGCTGATTTTAGGCAAACTATTTCCTCTCTGTGAAGCTCAGTTTCTTTATATTACGTATAAGGCTGTGTGGGGACTAAGGGGTAGGCTAATACCTATCTCATTGGTTGTGAGGATTGAAAGAAGTAGCATTTGTCAAGTTCTTGGCATGTAATGATCCAATGACTGTTACTTTACTTTTCACTTCTCTAACTGTCCAACATTTTTCTGGGGTCTTATTCTAATAACAGTTTATCTTTGGGGAGGGAAGAATCTTGATCCAGATTAAAAAAAAAATATTACCACAACTCAGCCTTTTCCATTGTGTTTTTCAGCTCAATTCAACCTTCCAGAATTGGAACTACACTGTTTTTGTGGTTAATATCAGGTAAATGACTTAATGAATTATTTGAGAAACTGAAAGTTTTATCTAATTAGTGCTGAGCATGCTCTCTCTCTTTCTCTCTCTGACTGTACCCACACACACAAAATACACATGTACCATATTCATAATCTTTCTAAAACAGCTATATATTATTTGCACAAAAAACCTCATTGCAACAGCAATGATTTTTAAATTTTTTTGAGCATTCATTCTAGTCCTTTGAAAAATTTTAGCATGTACTCCCAAATATGCATTTGCTTTAAATACACTGTGTATATGCAGTGTGTGCATTGTACACAATTGAATCAACATATGTTATAGTGTGACAAAAATTAAAATTGGATAACATAAATAGAAGTTGTCAGTTCCTTCTCATACCCCACAGGGGTGGGGAACCTGCAGCCTTGGGGCCACATGTGGCCTTCTGGATTCTTGAGGGCAGCCTTTTGACTGAATCCAAATTTTACGGAACAAACCTTTTTAATAAAGAAATTTGTTTTTTGAAAGTTTGGATTTGGTTGAGGGACTGTGCTTGGGGATCTGGAGGGCCATGTGTGGCCTTGAGGCAGCAGAGCACCCTTTGGGCTGTGTGTACTTCAGTTTCGAGACCACTTTTCTGCAAGATCTGATCTTGTACATCTACAGTCTGATTACAATCTGGCTTTTCAAGATTACCTTTCACTATTTTTCTTTTTAAGTTCTCTACTAAATCTTCAGCAATTAGAATTGTTCAATATCCTTCTCTGTACCTTGTTTTTACAGTTTTATACTTAAACTAATCTTCTAAAGTATATTTTATGACTCTGAAACATATATTCCGTAAACCTAAGAGGAGTAATAACACAGAAGAGGGGTCATGTTGTCAGATAAGTTGAGGAGGTACATTATTCAACCAACTGAAGCAGGTTTCTTTATCAGAACGTCTCAGTTTCCTTAGTATACTCGCATGCAGTGTGAGTCTTCGAAACAGCAAGAGCACACAGTTGCCCAGCTTTATGAAAGAAACTAGAACCTCAGAGCACATGTTTGGAAATAGTGGCTTAAAATGTCCTGTCTGCTCTTTCTTTTAGCTTCCCAAAATTTTGTTGTTGATGATGCTGTGGATGAGGTTTATTAATGAATGTGTATATTTGTTATAGTTTTCACCAGAGCACGGGAGAGGACAAGGTTAAAGTCAAGAGAAGCATTGCGAATGATCAAAGGTAACACTGACAAAGTCTTACAAAAAGTAAACATTTTTTCTCTTTCTCACTGCTTTGACTATCTGGTAGAGAAATGAAAACAATGACATAAGAGAAAATTTTAATCACATAGCACATTTGAATTATTTCTTTGATACTAATGGACACTTTTTTTCTTGTACTTAAAACCATAATATAACAGACTGAATAGTATTGTACATCTGATGAAAAATAATTCAGAAGAGGAGCATTTAAAATGGATAGATGATGATTTTTAGTGTTTCCAGTTTATTTATTATAACCCATCACCTCTTATTTAAAATTGCAAAGAGACTTCCAAAGAAAATAGCTTTGTTTTAAATAAAGTGTTTACATAATATAATATAATTAGGTGCCAAAATATTTTCAACATTTAAAG